AGGAGCTGCATCAGGAGTGGGGTGGGGAGAGGGTATGTTTGTAGGGTTTCTCCTCTCTGCTCGTTGTGGGGTGCAGTGGGATCAGTCCCCCAGCTCCCATCCCTTGCATCCCAGAGGGTCCCCACAGCCACCCTTCCAGGGAAGGGTGAAATCTAGAAGAGGAGAGAGATGCCTTCTCCGAGATTCCTTTGGAGACAGCCACCCCCCGGGGAAGCGCAACGTGGCACCCCAAGGCGAGCTCTTTGCTTTGACACAGAAATACATTTTCCCTCCATGCCGTGCCCTCCGGCTGCTGTGTGTTACCGGCTGCGGGCGAGCACTGAACTGTAACTCCATGTGAAAAACACCTTGGGTACTTTTGCCAGCCGTGTTGGTCCCCAGAGCCCGGGTGTCTCTGCCTGGGGCCTCCCCAAACCTTCACCTTCTGCAGGTTCGGTGGTTTTTTTTCCCAGTTCTGAGCATCTGCTGGCAGCTGGGAACCAGCCCGAGCCTCACCTGGTATGAGAGAGGACATGAAGCAAAGGTGCCTTGTCCTGGTAGAGCAGGCAGGCTGTGCCGTGCACGGTGCTGTACATTGGGGCTGCGCTGCTGAGTCCCTGCTGCCATCACCCCTGGTCTTGCTGGAAAAGCACAGCCTGGCCGTAACATCCCGGCAAGGCAAAAGCAACAGGGGATGCCCGTGTGCTCGGCCAGCATCCTCATCCCACATCCCCAGAGGGACTTTTATCAGGCCCTGGCGTTGGAGATGGGAGCTGTGATAGCAAGGCAGCGATGCTGGAGGTGCCTGGGAAAGTCCCGTAAGGCAAAACCAGGAGTAGGGCACAAACTAAAGAGGGTTTGCAGTGATGGTGGCCAAATTACCCTGCTGCGCTGCCCAGAGCCTCCTTGGCACCCTCGAACAGGCGCAGGTCTGGTCCAGAGGGGCTCAGTCTCCCCTTGAAGTCCCCTGTGCCTGCAGTAGCCAGCAGTATGGGATGCAGGGAGAACCGATGGTCTCACAGGGAGGGTCCCGTGTCCCCACGTCCCTTCCCCAGGCCACCCTGGCTCCCCAGCCCATAGCACATGGCCAGACCATGCCCTGTGGGCAGAGCAGAGCTGCTGCCAGGCAGCTGCACGCTTCCCCAGCCCATTCCTATTCATCAGGGCTTGGGTTTCACCGCTGTCCTTTCCCCTGCCACGGGAGGACAGGGACGGTGGGTTGTGCCACCTTCTCCCTCCAGCCACCTGCCTGCGTGGTACCACGATGCCCTCAACTTGGATTACGCCAGCCCTGGGACGAGCTGTTCCAGCGAGAGCGAAAACACAGCGGCGAGGCCGTGCCGTGGCCCTCGGGGACGTCAGCGACTCCTCCTCCAACCACACATTGACGCAGAAACCTCCTTCGCACACCGCTGCCTTCTCCCCATGATGCTGAACTGCTCCCGCGTGGCCGGTGGGGCAGGTTTAGACCCCACAGAGCCTGGCATGGGGCAGCTCAGGGGCTCTGCACCTCCTCCAAGCCCACCTCTCTCCTTGGTTGGACCTGCAGCAGCATCTCCTATAGCTTCTAGAGTCAGGGCTCATTGCTGTGAGGCTCCAAGGGACTTGTTCATGAGCAGAGCAGAAGCTCTGGGGTCTGGGCTGGGTTGGAAGTGCCAGGGGGAGGCAACCCAGGGGGTCTCTTGGGCAGGATGGGACCACCAGGTCCTGCTGAGGCTGGCAGGTCCAGCCGAGACCACGCACAGGGGCTCCCCGTATCTGCCCTGGAGGAAAGCGAGGGGGCATTTACCCCTCCCAGGGGCAGGGAAAACATTTTCCCCCCTCTAACACACACCAACGCATTTGGTGTCATAATAATAGACCATTTACAGTTGTTTATTTTAAGAAATGTACAAAGAAAAACAGCTTTAGCTCACACAAATCCTGCTCTTCGGCATTTTTCCCATCACCGACGACACATACGTACAAGCAGCATCGATTGTGAACCACAATCCGGGCTGGAAACCGCCGTGCCATGGATGCTTCCCACGCAAACGCCATTTAAAGCAGCTCAGGCTCCTGTTCCAGGGAGCATCACCCTATGCAACATGGAAATGAAAGCACAACGCTATGGGACGAGCAGAGCGACCCCGGCTCTGCCGCCTGGCCGACAGCACGTGGATGCAGGCAAGCTCAGCACCGCTCCTGGCCAGCCTGAACATGGGGCATCCGTAACGGCTCAGTGCCAAAATCAGCCCAGGAAAAAAAATTATAATAATAATAAAAAAAGACAGACCCTTTGGCTTTAAGAAGCAGCCCTTGTTTTAACTGGAAGAGGTTTTGGTTCATGTTTGTTTTGATATCAAGAGGTTTTTTTTCCCTTTTGAAGGCAGAAGGCAGTCCAGAGATGAACTTGGGGCCTTTTGCACATTTTTCTTCATTTACTTTCCTTTTGCCCACCTGTGTAACAAGCAGCAAAACCCTCCTGCCCTGGGGAAACGCTCCTCTGCCTGGAGGTTTCCTGGTGAGGACCTGCCCGGCCCCATCAGGCTCTGCAGAGACCCCAGCACGTGCCACCCGCTCACCTCCAGAGCCCCAGCCAAGGGAAGGATGCTCTGCCCGAGCATTTTGGGATTTACACCCCGGTGGGAGCATTCATTGCGTTAAGGCCCCCGGTGCTCGGTGGCCGATGGGATTTAAGGGGCCCCGTCGAAGCGGCTCATTGCAAGGACCGTTCAAACACCTGCTCCGATCCCCGGGGATGCGTCTCATTAATTAACGCCAACCAAGAGCGCTCCAGCGGGACGTTTCCTCTTGCTATGGGGCTTGAAGAAACCCGAGAGGGTTTTGTTACAGGGACTGGGGATTCTTGGAGGAGGTTTTCCAAACCCTACCTTTGTCCATTGCTTTCCTGCCACAAAATCTGGATGAAACGGGAAAACAGAGAAGAAACATGACTATAAATACTGTTTACATTCGTACCATAGAGACCTGAATGATTTATGATTTCAATGCGTATTCAGAGACTTCTAAAACCTGGTATTTAACCCTGAGAACATATCTGCAGATGCTTTGTTTTGGCTATGCAAACAAATCTTTAAGACATAATTGCACTTTCTCTGTATATAACAAAAAAATAATCCATAAAGCTTATTCAAATATTCAAAAGAAAGGTGCTACTTTAAGACATTGGAGATTTTTGTTCACAAAACCTTGTCTTTTCTGTAATTATTCTTAATATTATTTCACTTGGCTCATCTTTCACTGGCTACTTGGCTGCACTCTGGAAGAAAAATATACAAGAAAATCTCTTAATTGTGAAATAATATTAGTAAATAATTACTTTAAGTAAAAGGACAGCCATACTCATTTGTTAATGTCTGAAAAACATCGTTACCATGATGAGATCATTTCAAAACTAAGATGTTTCTCTTTCACCAACAACAGATTTCACATTTCATTCTCATAAGAAAATATTAGACTCTTTGCAAGTGCAGTGAGCTGTAAAACCCAGGATCAGTAAGAGATCCTGCTTTGAAAGGTAAGGTGTCTACTTGAAATATCTGAAGTTAGCTCAATATCGAAGATCTATTGATCTGTATATGGAAGAGCTCTTGAAAAGGAGATACAAATGAAGTCTTTTCAGGCTGGGCGAGAGATGGAAGCCTCTTTCTGTTATACCAGCGACTCTTTCACAATGCGTTCCTTATCCCATGCTTTTGCTTCGCCGGGAGCATCTCGAGTCTCTGAGCCGGGAATGGGTGCAAGACCAAAGGCAGGGGCTGTCTCCACATCTGTCCCACTGTTCCCATACATCTCATGCATTTTGGTGGCGATCAGACCTTCCTTCTCGGGTGCGTCGTCTCTCAGGGCATCCTCGTCCTTACTGTGCCTGTACATGTAGGACGCCTGCTTCACTGAGCGCCTCAGGAGGTACCTCCGGAAAGCCCTCTGGATTTTTGTAGCGCAGACTTCCTCATGTTTCCTTTTCAGAGTGGTGGTGATGGGTTCATAGGAAACCTTTGAGGGGTTTGCAGCCATGAACTTCTCTTCCATGGTGGCCTTCAAGGCATCCATCTCTCCCGAGTCTCCCAGCACTTCCTTAGTCAGGGCAAAGAGGATATCCAGACAGTGGATTTTGTCCCCAGCAACCATTGGCAGATCCATGGTGATTAGCTTGATCTTGTTCGGCTTGGGAATTTTGAGTGGCTCCTGTAAGGTGTCTACAAAGTCAGACAAGGTGCTGTACGCAATGAACTGGGTGGCGTCCGGGTCAAACTTCTCCCAAGTTTCATAAAACATTTCAAAATCATCTTCACAGAGGGGTTCGCTGCTCTCCTCCGTGGCCACGTTGAAGTTCTCCAGGATGATGGCAATGTACATGTTCACCACGATGAGAAAGGAAATGATGATGTAGCTGCAGAAGAAGAAGATGCCGATGGATGGGTTGCCACAGTCCCCTTTTACTGAACTGCCAGGGTTTTCCAGGTCAGGGTCACAG